CAGCACCAAAAACTTTCGAATTGTTGCATTCAAAACATCTATAAATTTTTTTTTGAGGGGGCAGATGATAATTTTCAATTCTATGGGGAGCCGGGCCCCCCTGGACTCCCTTTTCGTACGTCTATGGCAAGGGATTTAAGCCATTGAAGTCGAGGATGCCCAGAAAGGAGCCTCTTAGCATCCGACAAAGGAAGAAAATGAAACACAGTTACTAAAAATATCATTCTACATATACTCAAAATCTTGAAAATCTCTAAAAAAGTAAGAAAAATTTTATAGTGCCCTAGCGTGTTTTTGAAACTTTATTCACCTTTTGCGGAATTTTTAGGGTAATTTTTTCACTTTTCCCTACGAGACAAGGGTTACACATGAATTCGTACTGGTTTGTCACCTGCGTCACGGGCCCCTCCAGGGCCCGGGCCCCGGTACCAAGGACCCAGTATCCCCCCCCTTGTGGCGGGCCTGGACGTACTGAGGATAACACTTATTACGATAAGGAAATTATTAATGTCACCCAACCAGGTTTAAGTGGTTATAATGAACATTTTCCCTCCGTGACGAAATTTCTTCAGGTGTTACACCAAAAAATTATTTTATCGCGAAAAGTTTGTACCTTCAATGGAGGATTTGCAGGTATATAAAATAGGTGATTCGATGGACGCCATATTTTGTGTCAGAACGGCATGCGGTATATCGCATCAATTGGTTCCATTTTTTCAGCTACTCGTCATTTTTCTCCAATTTTGAGATCGCAATTCTGTTGTCACGAGACTAAAGCACTCACTAACCAATTTTAACAAAGAAATTCAGCGTAATAAAGGCGTGGTTTTGTTTCGAGAGAAAATATCGCATTCGAGTGCAGTTTCGATATCAGTATCGAATGCGACGAATTCAGAATTCAGACAGAATTCAGAAATATCAGTATCGAATTTCTCTCTAAAAAAACCACGCCTTTATTACGTTGAATTGGTTTGTCAAAATTGGTAAGTGAGAGGTTTAGTCTCCTGACAACAGAATTGCGATCTCAAAATTCGAGAAAAATTATTAGTAACTGAAAAAATGGAGCCAATCGATCCGATATATCGCACGTCGTTCTGACACAAAATATGGTGTCCATCGAATCACCTTAAGTGGAAACTACTGAGTGGACTGAACTGAACGCGTAAATACCCTTGGTTCATATGTTGAACAATAATTGGAAGAGTTGTGACAAAATTATCTAATCTGCTAAAATACATGTGTTTAAGTAGGGAATGCTGGCAGATGACGTCACTAGGTGGTACATTTCCTCACTTTCAAATCTATTGTGATCTATTTCCCATATCAGAAAAAAATTATAGACAATACTGCGGAATCAGCTCTGCAATCACTCTCGCGTGATGAGGCAATAAAAAAATTGCGTGCGAATCCTCCATTGTAATAAAATTGCACTTTTAGCATATCTACGGACCGCAAGTTTAGATAATTGAAACAATCTATTTCTTTAAAAATATCTATGCTTGATAACCATATCGACGGTTAGGTAGGTATACTACCAGACCACGTATCTTGTTTGCTGTGTTTAAAAATCTCCGCTCCTATTTTATTTTTTTGAAGGAGAACCACATATAATTATTTGAAATTTTCACAGACTATTTTCTAACAGAGAAGAAAAAACAGGGAAGTTTTCAAAAATTAACTTTGAGTAGTTTTTAATTTAAAAAAATAAAGTACGGCAGAAAGTCTACAGCCGTCGCAAACCGAGATACGTGATCTGCTACTTTCACCGTCGATATTTTATAAATTAATGTTTTCGATACCTACCTCTGTTGCAGATGGTCATCAAGAAATTAGCACCCAGAGCTCAAACAGTTTGAAAGATCCGATTGTTGTCCTCGGGAAACTTGATCCACAGTTGGTTAGCAGCCATTTGAAAGCGATAGAAAATTCTCCCAGTCCGAGCCATTCAGTTCCACCGTTAGAGTTGAGAATAGAGGTAAGATCAGGTGCCACATTGCAATTACAGCTTGTTTGTGGGGTTCTTATAACCAATTAAACATCGCCTATTTTCGTAAACGGGCGTAAAACCATAAAAGAGTGAAGGAACCTCACTTACTCACTCATACTCCTCAGTATTGAATGACCGAGTCAATTCTATGACAGCAAGGGAGGCAGATTATTGGAATTTTTGGGTCCACGAGTTGCTCTAAAGCTCTTTACTGTGCATATTTTCCCCTTCATAATTCCGTTTGTAAATCTTGATCAAATCAGTGCAATCTCTTCCTATCTTTCTCCTCTTCCTTCCCATTCTCCCAATTTGTTTTCTCTCCTTTCATTGTTCTCTTAATGCTCATGATCTCACCGATTTACCCCAAATTTGATTTCTGGGCCATTTTTTAGAATATATATAGACCTACATCTAAAGCTCGTATGTGCCGGTCCCATGACTCCCCCTGAAGGGGTAATCTGACTCTGCTTGGGATTTCGAGGGGTAGTTGTTAAATCGAATTCCCTGACATTCGATCTTTTTTCTTTTTTTCAATTTGATGTCTGATTCTTTGGTTTCGATGTATTCGGATACTTAGCTCTAAAGCTCGTATGAATCGGCCCCATACAACCCGCGGGGCCTGTGTTTTTAGGCTTAGGCCAATGGCCAATTTGACCCGGCTTGGACATTCTATAGTTGAATTGGGGGTTAAAAGGGAGGAAAGTGTTGATTTTTCGGCACAAAATGGCCACAAAGCCCTCAAACGAGTAGTGTTTGATGAAATGTTAGTGCTCGCATGTAATTATAGCAGGGGCAGAGATACGAGACTTCTCAAAAGTCGGAAAGAATGGAACCTAACGAGAAAATAACGTACATAAGAGAGATTGTTTGTTAACTACATGAAGTACATGAGACAATGCTTGGTTTCATGGTGTTTGATTTTTTTGCAGAGAACTAAGCAACACTGAAACAAAAAATTATGCCAATATATTCTTCACAATCAAGGGTAAATAACTAAAAGTTTAAAGGCGTTAAACAATTCACGCCCAAATCACGCTGAGTCCTTATGACGTATCAAAAAATGACATCCCAATGAACTGCTCATGAACAGGTCTCCAGATGATGTTGGATACCTCTATAACGTCTTCAATGGATGTCCCGATGACGTTATCAACTGATTTAACCATGACGTCATCGAGGGTGCTCTAACGACATCATGAGCCAAACACAGCCAAGAACAGGCCGTAAATAGCGTACAACAGCCGGAAATAGCGTAAAACAGCCGGAATTTGCCAAAAACACTCGGAAATAGCCGTAAGTGGCCGAGCATAGCCGAATGGAATCCAGCAATAACAGATGGTTGACACCGTTGCAGGAGGGGGGGGGGGGCGAGGGGGGGGGGGGGTGAGGGGGAGAAGGTAATCACTATCTCTAAATAATAGACTACACAAGATTAGAGATGATACTAATGTTTTCCTCCAGTTATTCCCTGTAGCAACCGCATGACATGTTTGTATTAGCCCCTAGTTGTTCTGTTACAGGAGACTTTAGATTTGGATCATCTTTCTATTCACGATCAAAACATAGAAAATCAAAGAACAAGCGATATGTCAATGAACGATCCAAAATCCTCGCTAGCGGAACGCCGGAAATCGTCCAATGGGAGGGTCATAAGGAATTTCGCTCCGACCAAGAATGAAAGACTGCCTCGTCACTTTCATTTGGATGAATCTGCTCCTGAAAGCTCTTCCAGTTTTTTCAAAAATTCGGCACTGACTCGTCATCAACCGAATGAGGATTTATGGACGAAAATGTCCAAGTCAGGAATCCAAGTTGAGCCTGTCGATTGCACTGATGAAACTTTAACTCATATCGATTATTCAAAAAACTCCGTGCAGCCTCATGCCGAAAATGTAATTTGCTCGTTGGTTGAATGTGCCGCAAAATTTGAATCAAAAACGAGTCTCGGCTTACCAGATCATACTAATGATCAATCATTCTTATGCGGTCCGAGCTCAAGCACGATCAAATCGAAGGTACATCTACACAGGCAAAGAATGCATGTCCAAAATTTTGATCGCACATTTAAGCGTGATGCATGTTCTCGCAGCTTTCTACCGATGGAAGGTTTGAAAACGGACAATCGAAGAATTCCCCGAGTTCAACAACAGTCTTCCTGTGCCCAGTGTTCAACAATCTATAAATCAAAAGGATCGTTAGAAAGGCAATTTTGGAATATTCACTTTGATGTCCAGAAGCTTCAGTGTAGTCAGTGTTCAAAAAAATTTAAAAAAAGTCAAAGTTTACGAGCGCACATGACAAATATCGTCAGGAAAAGTCAACCCTTTCCTTGCGGTCAGTGCTTAAGCAAATTCAAATTGAAAAGCACTTTGAAGAATCATATGTTGCAAGTGCACAGTGAGCACTGTCCTTTCTCGTGTGCTCAGTGCACAAGCAAATTCAAATTGAAAGACGATTTAAAGCAGCATATATTGCAAGTGCACAGTGAGCATCGTTCTTTCTCGTGTGCTCAGTGCTCAAGCAAATTCAAATGGAAAAGCACTTTGAAGCGACATATGTTGCAAGTGCACAGTGAGCATCGTCCTTTCTCGTGTGCTCAGTGCTCAAGCAAATTCAAATTAAAAAGCGATTTAAGGAGGCATATATTACAAGTGCACATCGAGTACCGTCCTTTCTCGTGTGCTCAGTGCTCAGGCAAATTCAAATGGAAAGGCACTTTGAAGCGACATATGTTGCAAGTGCACAGTGAGCATCGTCCTTTCTCGTGTGCTCAGTGCTCAAGCAAATTCAAATTGAAAGGCGCTTTAAAGAGGCATATGTTTCAGGTGCACAGTGAGCACTGTCCTTTCTCGTGTGATCAGTGCTCAAGCAAATTCAAATGGAAAGGCACTTTGAAGCGACATATGTTGCAAGTGCACAGTGAGCATCGTCCTCTCACGTGTGCTCAGTGCTCAAGCAAATTCAAATCGAAAGGCACTTTGAAGCGACATATGTTGCAAGTGCACAGTGAGCATCGTCCTTTCTCGTGTGCTCAGTGCTCAAGCAAATTCAAATTGAAAGGCCATTTAAAGAGGCATATGTTGCATGTGCACAGTGAGTACTGTCCTTTCTCGTGTGATCAGTGCTCAAGCAAATTCAAATTGAAAGACGATTTAAAGCGACATATGTTGCAAGTGCACAGTGAGCATCGTCCTCTCACGTGTGCTCAGTGCTCAAGAAAATACAAATTGAAAGACGATTTAAAGAGGCATATATTACAAGTGCACATCGAGTACCGTCCTTTCTCGTGTGCTCAGTGCTCAAGCAAATTCAAATTAAAAAGGTATTTGAAGCAACATTTGTTGCAAGTGCACGGTGAGCATCGTACCTTCTCGTGTGCTAAGTGATCAAGCAAATTCAAATTGAAAAGCGATTGAAAGAGGTATAGGTAAGTTGCATGTGCACAGTGAGCATCGCCCTTTCTCGTGTGCTCAGTGCTCAAGGAAATTCACATTGAAAAGCTATGTAAAGTGGCATATATTGCAAGTGCACAGTGAGCATCGTTCTTTCTCGTGTGCTAAGTGCTGAAGCAAATTCAAATTGAAAAACTATTTGAAGCTGCATTTTTTGCTAGTGCACATAGTGAGCATCGACCCTCCTCTTGTGATCAGTGCTCAAGCAAATGTAAGAGCACACTGTGAAGATAGCTCATTCGCGTGTATTCAGTGCTCAAGCAAATTCAAATTTAAAAGCTACTTGAAGCTGCATGTGCAGTACATAACTTGAAGATTGCCCCTACTCGTGTGGTCAGTGCTCACGCAAATTTAAAGTAAAGTATGATTTAAAGACACAAAGGGTGTCCAAAAAGTAACTCAATTTTCGTCTTTTAGAGCGAACGGAAAAAGGCTAAAAATATTTGATCTCCACGTACGTGTAGACGAGGTGAAAAGCAAGCAAATGAGACGTTGTTGAGCTCTTTCGGTCAAAAATTGACCGAGATATGATATTTCTCCCGCGGCATGTTGAGAGACCACCTCTATAGGATTTTAGGTACTTTCCGAAGCGTGCTGCGAAATGTCTAAAGTCAACATTAAGTTCGATGTTTTGCAAAGTACAATTCGAGATAAAGTTGGCAACATAAAGGGAGGGTTTGGGAACACTGCTGGCCGAGGCGTGTGAAGCGCGCGGTTGCCACACGTGAAAAGAAACAACATTAAGGCATCCTCTATTGTTTTTGGAGTGTATTATCGTTAAATAGTACGTATAAAGAAATGAATGAAATATGCTCGGACAAGGACGATTATTCAGATAGAAGCAGTATTTGACGCTGGCTCGTTTTTTTCTTTGCATAAAGTACCCCTAAAATTCTGGAGGCGGTCCTCAACATGCCGCGGGAGAAACGTCATATTTCGGTCAATTTTTGACAAATGGAGCTCAACAAGGTCTCGTTTTATCGGTTTTCATGATGACCAATTTTTTTATAGCTTTTTCTGTTCGCCCTTGAAGTCGATAATTGCATTATTTTTTGGACAGCCTATGTACTTGTGCAAGGACGGATTTAGCTTTTTAGCGCTCCTAGGCAAATCTCATAGTCGCGCCCCTCACAGAACAGACGACCGCGTGGGGAGTCTGAGGGGTACTCCCCAGCCCAGTCAAAAGGGGGGTTCGGGGGTCCTCTCCCGGAAAATTTTTAAAATCGGGCATTTGATAAACGCAATTTGAAGCTACTTTTAGATTATTTAAGAGAAAAATTTGGTGGCTGAGATGACTATTGTACTATCTTAATTTTCAAAAGGTATAGGGAATTAAAACAAAGCAAACTAAATAAAGGCGAGAAAAAGTTGAAAAGAGTAAAAGGAAAATTTTACTCATGAATGCAGAGGGGGCGAGGGTTTTACGAACCTTAAGTATTAGTAGACAAGGACAGATTCAGATATTCTTCTTTTCGCGCGTCTCTTTTTTCGTCCTTAAATTTTTTTACTGATTTCAATTCTGGAACCCTTAAAAAAATATGCATGTGTCTCAAAATTTTGCGCCCCTCGAAACGTTGCGCCCCTAGGCAGCTGCCTAGGTCTGCCTTGTGGGAAATCCGTCCCTGTACTTGTGAAAGTCTTACACACTGCCGATGGACCCTTCTCCTTAGACCAGTGCACAAAAAAATCAAATCAGAAATTCATTTAAGGCATCATTAATATTGTACATACAAAATGAAGATAACTCTCTCTTTCTCTCTCTCCCTCCATCCCTCCCTCTCTCTCCCTCTCCCTCCCCCTTCCTCTCCCTCCCTCCCTCCCTCCCTCTCTCCCTCTCTAGTATATAAGCAGTGCTCAAGCAAATATTAAATGAATGGTGCGTTAAAATAAGTATGTGGAAGTTGTGCATATCACCGATAGACCATTTTCCTGCTATCAGTGTTCAAACATATTCAAAGTAAAAACCAAATTAAGACTGTATATCATACAAGTGCGCAATAAAGATAGACCCGTCTGCGTGAGCAGTTTTAAATAGGTCAGTTGCACTGGTCACAGAATCGTATTTTGATGCTTGATTCTTGTAGATTAGCTGAAACTAATGAGATGTGTCCAAATCGCAACTTTCTACGTTCAACATGAACCGAGATATCGCCCTTTGAAAAGTCAGGTTTTTGACGTCATCCATGGCAATAGTGACACCCTTGGTTTCTTCCTCTTTTGTTCCATCAGAGATGCATAGGGTGCAACGCAAAACTTCAACGGCGTTAAACTTAAATGTATAAACCAACTCAAGAAACAGACAGATTCGCACTGTAAAGATCTTCCTATGAGGAGATAACCCACTTGCCGCGACGAGATTAGGTGGTCAGTCAGTTCACCTCAGTTTGTTTACACGCTTAACTTTAACGTCGATGAAGTTTAGAGTTTGCGCCATCTGCATCACCGATCGAGCAAAAGAGGAAGAAACCAAGCGTTTCACTGCCGCGGTGGATGACGTCAAGAACCTGACTTTTCAAAGGGCGATATCTCGGTTAATGTCGAACGTAGAAAGTTGCGATTTGGACACATCTCATTAGTTTCAGCTAATCTACAAGAATCAAGCATCAAAACACGATTCTGTGACCAGTGCAACTGATCCATTAAAGAGGGCTTAATACAGAAGCATATGGGGCGTGTCTACATATTCACCACCGACCCTTAACATGTCCTCAGTGCTCAAGAATATTTAAATCAAATTTGAATTTGAAACAGCGCATTCCATATTTGAATCAAATATTGCAGAAAGGGCACTATTGCAGAAATGTTAACTGTTCAGAAAATGCAAAAAACTGATTTGAGTAAACTATAAGCTTTTGGAAAAAATTTTTTCGAGGTTTTCTTTTGTCCCCCAAGTAGACTGACAATTTCCATAAAAAATTTTTACATGATACTCTTTCTGGGTTGTAAATAATGACACTTGAAGGAAGAGCATTAGTGCCCTTTCTGTAATACATGGGGGAAGGAGCCATAAAGAGTGATAGAATGAAGCCAGAAAATTATTTTAGCCCTTGTTTTTTCATCTCAAATGTACGGCAATGATGCATGTCTATAGCGAAAGTTGGAAATTGTATATCTCCATTGCAACGTTTCAAAATTTCTGCTCTCTTTTTATACTATTTTTTTAAAGAGAACTAATAGAGATTTTCCCATGAAATTTTCAGAAAACAATCTTGATGGTGTGAAGAAAATTTACACAAAATTTCAATAGAGAATACTTAAGAACAAAAAAAAGAAGACGTCGCAATTGGCAATGTCGCAATTGATGGTATGCGATTTCGAACTTTCAACATGTGGTTTGCCCACAGCCATGTAAATTTTAATAAAAATATTTCTGGCTTATTTCAAGTCAAAAAAAAAAAAAAAAAAAAAAAAAAAAAAAAAAAAAAAAAAAAAAAAAAAAAAAAAAAAAAAGTATCCTTTGAAGTTCAATAGCGTAGTAATCTTCTACCTACTTCCTCATCCAACCTGTTTAGGGCTCCTCTCACTTCCTACACTCAAGGTTCCATTCTCACTCCTTTCATTTTCAGCGTGAGTGAAGCGTGTAGCGCGATCACTGTCGTTTCGAAACGCAAAACTAACCTCTCAATCGAATCAAAACAAAACAAACGACGAGTTGCCGCTGCCGATGCGCGCGCACCCAGTGGGCATGTACTGCAGAAACGGCACTATATTGCTGCAACAGTGCCCTTTCTGCTCTACGTGAGGAACTTAACCCCTGTCAAAAACACATAAAAAATGCGAATATAGTGCCCTGTCTGCACTACAGGATGTGTCCACATACACTAATGCGAAAACCGCAAAAAACTCAATATCGAAAAAAATGTCGATTGTGCCCTTTCTGTAATAGCTGATTCATTTTACTCCTGTTCAGAGATTCGCGTGTGTTCAGTGCTTAAGAAAGTTAAAATCAAAGGCTATATGGACTCCATTTTGCTATAAGGAACTAATTTTTTTGGCTCATCCATAAAAGAATTTTTCTGCACAGGGAAACAATTGCAACTTTTGATGTTTCTCGCACTAGCCAAAAATAGTAGGTAGTGCCTTATTGCAAAGTAAGGTCTTAATTAAAAACACCCGTGGTGCAAATCCACACGGACAATCAGCCCCTCTCGACTGGAGAGTGCTCGAGAAAATTCAAAATGAAGGGCTTTCTACAACAACAAGTGATGTACCTCCACACCGACAACGAACTATATTCATGTGATCATTGCTCGAGAAAAGTCAAAACGAAGGCGGATTTACTGTCTCATTTTGAGATAATTTTGCGATAAGGAGCCACTATCTCTGGCTCTCCCATAAAAGTACAAATCTGCATAGGGAAACCAAAGGTATGTATGTTTTTTCTAAAATGCGCCAAAAATAGTGACTCCTAATTGCAAAATGCAATTGATCCATGTCCACAACGGCGCGGCGATCAAATACATATAATTAAAACCACACATGAAACTAAATATAAGTTTGTTAAAAATTTTGCGGGTGAAAAATTTTGCAGGTGAAAAAATTGTAGGTCTAAATTTTTAGGTCAAATGTGTGTAGGTCTGAGTAAGTCAAATGTCACGTAGGTGTAATGCGTACAGGTGAAACGTCGGGTAACCTCACAAATGCATTGTTACTGTGCAACTGATTAACTGATTGAGTTGTGCTGCAACGCATTGGAACACTGCAAATTAGTTAGTCACACAACTCCAGTAAATTGGAGCAGAACTCCTGTATACACTCAATATTGCTGTTCAATACTGATAAGTTTGCGTGCCGCACCAATTTGGGTTAAATGAGTCGAAATCATCTTACGCTGTCTTAGTGACCAGATTTTTTAGGTGACATTGAAAAAGCTGTATAAATGTGATTTGCGTAGTCTTAAAAATGTCTTAATTGCCTTCAAAACAGGGCCTTGCAAAGCTTTTTGGGTCAAAAATTGACTGGTTGACGTTGTTTCAAAAAAGACATGAACAGCGTACTCCTCCAGAATTTTCGGGGATTTTTTTCGGAGGAGGAAAAAATAATTTCATGATTAGAGAAATATATTTTGTATTGAAAAAAGTTTCGGAATCAAACATGAGCCTAATATATCTAGGATGCTTTTTATTCGTATGAATGAGTTTTTCGATCTTTTTCAAATAATGAAGATGTTGCATGTGTGAGGAATTTGCGATTTGACTGTTGATTCTTATGTATAAATTCGCGAGAAACACGATGGTGTCACTGGTTTTCTCTAAAATCAACTCCCAAGCTCAAAAAAGCTCTCAAGTTGAGGCCAAAACGGAGTGGATATCCCACGCTATCCTGAGAGTCCACATCTACATCAAGACAAACTCTCCATGCAAAGATAGGGAGCAAATACATTAGCAGTGATGCCGTGTTTTCAGTTTTAGAGTCCCCTAATGAAGTGGCAGCCCTGTCAATGTATTTGCTCCCTATCTTTGCATGGAGAATTTGTCATGATGTAAAGGTGGACTCTCAGGGTAGGGTGGGATATCCCCTCCATTTTGGCCTCAACTAGAGAGCTTTTTTTTAGCTTGGGGGTTGATTTCAGAGAAAACCAGTGGCACCATCGTGTTTCTCGCGAACTTTTACATAAATCAACGGTCAAATCGCAAATTCCTCACACATGCAACATCTCCATGCTAAACCTTCTACGGCATGGCATGGTGTCACTTAATTGTAACAACGCAATTATTAAAAATTGAAACAGCCCTCTGTGGCATGATGTTGCAAATTTATATCCGTGTTTTCTTTTTTCTGAAAACGTGATCACCAAAATTTTGAAATTTTGAAAAAAAAAATTGGAACTTTATGTCTTTACAAACGCTACATCATAGGTTTGTGTGCCCTAGAATGTATAATGTAAAATTAACCCCGTGATTAAATATCTAAGGGATTAAGGTTAAAATTGTATTTAAATTTCTGAATTTTTGTACCTTTTCTAATAAAAAATTATTAATTTTATCTAGTTATTATTTCTGAGTGTAATTTATCTTGTTTTAGTCCTTATCTTCCAAAATTGTAATTACTTTACGGGGCCCCGATTCCGCTTTGGCAGGATGTTGCACATTTTTATCAGTTTTTTTTTTGGGGGGGGGGGGGNNNACACGTGATTACCAAAATTTTGAAATTTTGAAAAACATTTGAGATTAAATGTTTTTACAAAAGCTGCATTATAGGTTTGTGCTCTCGAGAATGCAAGATCCAAAATTAACTCACAGCATGGAGGGTTATAAATCCATTCCTCCACCTTCGTCTGCCGTATCGCACCGACTGAAGTGCGAAACCACGTATCTCCATTGCGGTGTTTCAAAATTTCCGTTCTTATTTCGTCTCTTCCAAGAGAAACAATCCAAATTTACGACTTTAAATTTTGAACCAAATCTTCTGCTATCGAATACGAAAAATCAAGGAGAATTTAAGTTTTATGTTGACCAGCTTCTCGAAAGAAAAATAACATTTCTGAGGAAGTCTGCAACGTCGCAAATGGAGAAACGTCGTCTCTCATTTTGCCCAAACATATGTATGCATACAATTGAAGGCATTATCACTTTCCTCTATCGACTGATATTCGTCTGTAACGATAAACAATGGGACGCGATTGCTACGGCGCCTTGATGCAACTATACAACCTCGACGGATGTCCGTATTGCGTTCGAAAAATTGAAGGCGTTTTGACTCCCTGCTCATGCTACCTGTAATTGATTCGATCGACAGACGCGTTGGTCGGAGGTGACGGGGACTTGATGCAACTATTAAAACTTGATGGATGTCATACCGGTTCATTGGCTTTACCTACATTTTTCCCATTCCACACTTGCCGGCGAAGAGTTGATTCGCAAACTGTGGTAGGTTTTGGCCCTGAGCAGACAAGGGAGGGACGGAAAAAAACATCAGATAACAACAATTGACCCTCTTGCTTTGTGTCTCCGTTGCAAACCATTTTTTTCATAGGTCATGTATACCTATCGCACATTGGCGATCTACTTATTTCTTGTAAACGGTGTGCTTGTAAATTTAAATTAAAAAGGCATGTAACAAGGGTGCAGAAACTTTCCGACCTCGCAGAACCACGCGACCGGTCGTTCGCGTGAAATAAGGGAACCCATCCCTGGTAAAAATTGGCGATAGGAGCTGCGTTTCAAAATACCATAGGAGTTCTTATAGCCGACAAAAGAAGGCTATTGAAAATCATATAGCTGGCTGTAGAAAGCGGAGCAAATCATATAGCCGGGCTATACAAGGCTATGAAAAAGTATACAGTCGGGCTATAGTTCCTATCGCCGGGCTTTACACTTTATCGCCATTCGCTATAAAAGGCTATAAGATATTGTGTAGAAATTCGTGTGCTTTGGAAATCATTAAGTTTGATACGGAACTACCTTAATATTTACAAAACACCCATTATATTTTCCTTTAAAACATTTTTTTTTTCGTCAATTAAAATGAGAATAGTCCATACAGAGTGTGCAAACATTTCACAATCATGAGTTGAACAACGCCGACTCCTCGAGATTAAATATTAGAGCCTAACACAAAGCGGAGCAGCGACGCACTGGCGCCTACAAACCTAACAGGGATACTTCACGCATTGCGCAATGCGTGAAGTATCCTTGTTAGGTTTGTAGTCGCCGATGCGTCTCTGCCCGCCCGCCGCGCCGCAGCGTGCCACGGCGTCTGAAGCAACTATTTCTCACCAGATGTATTGCACAGTATCATAAGAAATTGAAGGCGCTCCAACATATTAAGAATGACAGGCATCCTTCAAAAGTACGGAGCTTTCCTCGCAAAATAAATCAAGATACTACGGCACAAAAAGAGAGCGGTAGTCCAAAAACTAACTAAGTCCTAGCATCCGTAATTAATAACGTTTAGTATAAACTTTATCGTCTGGCTGTTGCTTAATCGCCATCGGCTATAAAAGGCTATAAGAAATTGTACAGCCGGCTATAAAAGGCTATAAGAAATTGTACAGCCGGCTACAGAGGCTATTGGAAATCTTACAGCCGGCTTTAGGTCTATGGTATTTTGGAACACAGATTCCAATTTTTACCAGAACACAGTGGAAGATAGATACATAAGTCGATGATGAAACATGCATAAAATTCCTAGCAATGTGGCCACTGCGTATGAAAAGTAAAGGTTTTTGAACTTGCAGAACGAGCTCGACGAGGAACAACCTTCGAATTCTGAAATACTAGGTTTTCCGTGAATTCAGGCAATAATGGCAACACCGACTTTTTTGGGAGGCTTTGAATCAAAAAAAGTTCTTAGAGGAAGGTTTGGATCACCCGCGTCCACTTACTGCCAAAAAAGTTTAATTTTGGTGTAAGATGAGTCGCCTTTTTTAAGCCATTTTAAATATTGAAAAACAGGAAAATTCTAAAAAGTTTTTTTGAACTATGAGCGCAAAGTTTGACATCGACGACAGTTTGGTCAAAGTGACTCTCTTACATCCCTAATGAACATACTTGAAGGACTTTTTGCTCCTTGGAAGGGATCGTTACGAAACAGCGCGTCGAATGCCGAAAAACCCGCATTTTTCGCCAAAATTGGCCTTCAGACCCATGTTTAGGCCAGTGGTAGACCCCGAAATAGACCGGAAATGACCAAACCATTATGCATTCCGTAAAATATAGACCTCGAATGACCAAAAAATCGCGGAGTTGAGAAATTTAAGGGTGGGCCACTCAACGATACCCCTCCTTTGTATTTTTTTGAACCTCAAGAAAAAAACATTAATGAAAAAAAAAATTATATTAGGAATGGAAGATCTAGACGCCCTGGATCCCCTTTGGCTGTGCAGCGGTGTGACCTAGTATTGCTTTTGAATAACCATTACCATGTCACTGCCAATATTGGATTTGATATTAGCAGCTGTTTAATTTTTTTGGACGTTCTAGTAATTTTCACCATACAACATTTACGAATCGTACCGTACCGTACCATATAGGGAGGAGAAAAATCAAACTCATAAAGAACTAAGTAAGACTATTCTTTAAAATAAATGAAAATTTATTTGAAAAACAAAGGTGTTCATAAAATATCTGAAAAGATTATAATCGCACATCAGAATAATAAATAGAGAATGGGTAGGTTATGCATTAAGCGGAATGTGACAGATCTTTGAGCTGATTTTTTCTTCGAAATTTTTAGGCCAGTTGGCTGATAATCGTTCAAAACAAACAATTGATTGTACATATAACTTTAGGATGCAACAAAGACGTGACAAAATTTGCAACTCAGAATAGATCCGAAAGAAATTTTATTGTAACAAAGTCACACCAAATATTCAGAGCAATGGAAGCAAGTTCTGCAGAGAGAAAGTATGATTGAAATTAGAATATTTGCTGGTTAAACACGCTCTTTTTTCGTCTTTAATATTTTATTCGTAAAAACACATGATGTGATTGATCAGGATCTCATAGGATCATGGATCGAACAAAAGCAAATTTATAGAACCTATCATAAGAGAAAATTGCCAATCAATAAAAATTTGGGGAAAGAGAGCAGTGGAGTGCAAAATTCTTTCTTGAGAAATATTTAAAAAAAAATACCTAAATAGAGACATCAGTGTTACAACCAAATAGGTTCTTAAAATGTTAATTGCGATGGCAGTAAGTAGATGATGATGCAGGAAATTCTGCATCACATTTCTTCAGGCCCTGCATACGATTTCAGTTACACAGCTCGGTTTACTTCCAAAGGAAAAGTTCATCATCACAAAATCGAAAAATAACAAAGAGGCTTGAAAATCAACGAATTTTCTGTTCGCAGGACCACAGGTGGTTTCTAGATAAAGAGGCAAAACTGACCTGAGAATGAACTTGGAAACTGAACGGAATAAACAGCCAGATTACATTCTCATTTGTGGGGAATGTAAAATAATGTAAATAAAATAAATTGAAAACAGACAAAAAAATAAAATTAAAATTTTAAAACGTTAACAAGAACTGGTAAAACCTAATGATGATGAAGAGAATTTGAAACAAAGAACAACTGTTTCTATTCACAACTTAGGCTCATAACGCACTATCACAATTTAAAGAAGAGTTATGGTACACAGCAGAAAACATAATTTTACTTGAGATGATATAGATCTGCGAATATTTTTAGCTAACTAGGTACTTCATCTGAACATCTACAGACATTTATTCAATTCAAATGGATCAATGATGGTTCCATTTTCCCTTTTTTTCACTCTTTCATATTTCAGTGCTTGCCTGTGATTCAACCAGAAATTAGGAAAATTACTCCTTTTTATTACCTTGATTTGATTTTGAAAGCTCCGCTATGTGAGGACTTGTAATTTTTGGATGTGTCAATGTGTCATTTGAATTTTGCCTTCATCATATCTCCCCTGTTTTCTATGAAATGCAACGCCTTACATTAAAATAGAAGGAAAATAAAAGGAAAAATAAAGGTTGGTAAAAAGTAAAAAGTTAAAAATTTATTTCATTCATTAAAAAAAAACCTGCCTCTGGTTCCAAAAAAAAATGAAGAAAAAAAAATAGCGTGAACATGATAGTAAACAAAGTGTAAACGATGAAATAAAAAGAATATTGTTTTTGTTTTGTTTTGCAAAAGGGTCTGACCTATCTGAACATGGCACACCGTCTACTAGCATGGTCACTGCATTATTATACAAAATAAGAAGAGGTGCCAATACCAATTGACTGTGATGGCTCCAAAAATCAAGTTGTTCTGATGCTTCTAAAAAGACGGTAAAAATGAATTATACTCGATGTAAAAGGCACAAATTAATTTGGAGTGAGGAAGAAACGGTGATACTTTGGCAAAGAATAAGAGTCGTTTATAATTTCGGACATTTTAAGAGGAAGCAAAAAACAAAAAATTTAAACTTAAAAAAGCTGTATGGCAAGCATAGGTAATAATTGTAATAAAAAAAGAAAAAATGAAGAATGGCTGGACTTCTTGTGTACACACATTAGTAGATTATTTTCTGGGAACTGATGATGAAGTATGGGTGATACATTTCCTCCCCAATATCCTCATACTCAATATTCATAATTAGTTTAAAATTGATTTCAAAACCAAGACTACGTTTAAAAATTTAGAAAGGCACACGTAAATTTAAAACACACTTTGACACCATTTAAACACTTAATCTTACTTTTTAAATGCAGCGTGTATCAATTTGCTGTAAAACAGAAAAAAGACTGAGGGTTTATTTATGCTAGCTGAATAATGAAGAGCTTTTGTTTATTCAGATTATGAACGGTGTAAAAATTTGGGCTTATAGTTCATAGTGCATAGTATGAAAATATAGTTCCATTTAAAAATGGGAGAGGGAATTTTCATTCATTCATGGTCACTTCCATTTCACTCTGTGGCAATGTAATTAACGTTTCATGGCTACAGAGAAAAAAGTAAAAAAAACAAAAACAAAACAAAAACAAAAAAAAAACATTGTAAATAAATCTTTACATTCATACTATAATTAGCGGCTTTTTGGGAGTCTGAATAAATCGATACTGACATCAGAACTTAACACCTCTTTACAGAATACTTTTTTTAGAGCCACATGAACACTTGGGCCTTTTCTGTAAAATCTGGCCGATACCTAATGCTAATTACGCAACAAATCATTTGCGCTGAAAAATTATTTAATCAACATATTTAAGGGAACATAATTTGTAAGCAAAAGCTTCACAGACAGTGCTATTAATTCATCTCAAGTAAAATCACATAGACAAATAACAAGGAGAAAAAATTAAACATTCTACAACCAAAATAACAAACAATCAAACTAGACAGAATTGGCATTCTTAAAATTCTATGAAGTAACACTTGGATGTTCAGCAGCAAATACCTTAATGTAAGGTACCTAACCATGAATAGAGACCCATAAAACTTAAAAGCGTAGATACATGAGATCTTGTTGAATACAGACTGTTTGCTTAAACATTCCAACCAAGAGACTGCAAACAATGTGCGAAGTACACACTTTCATCGCACAAATTTTGGAAAGTCAAAGCAATAATAATGTTCAACTGAAACCTCTCCTCCTCTTGCAACAATTAGACTCAATTAAGATAGCATGATTTTCTACAGCTAGGATTGTATTCATAGTCGCTCCTTAAACATGCAGGCTTCCTTAAGTCATAAGAATTGTCTACATTGGTTGAGGAGGCCTCTGCGTTTGAGGAGCGACTATGAAGTCAACCCTGTAAGTTTAGAAAACCCCTGAACCCCTCATGAATACCTTCACAGCTGCTACAGGGTTGGCTCAGTGATAGTTCAATGATATCTTAAGACTGCATGCATTCAAAAAATTTCTCAACTTTCCGGCTACTCATTATTGGATTCCATAGCAAGAGAGGATTTTTTTATGTCTGATTCAAACTTTGTTAATCGAAAGACTATTAAACAAATCTTGATGAGAGGAGGAGGACTCTGAATCACTTGGGTGCAAATACAGTATCACAGAACTCTAATTAGAATGTTTCAATTTATTTCTTAAACTTTTCCAATTCTAACCGGTACATCTACACTGATATGAAAACTGAAGATCGAACGATTTATGCTTCTTCAAATTCATTATGTTTGATACAAATCAGTTCGTTCAAGCAACTGATCCGACGGTTGCAATCAAAATGAGCAACTCACCAAATTTAGAGGCATGGTCGTAATTTTAAAATAAGAGAAAGAGACTTATATCATGCCTAGATGCATTCAGACACAGAGAATTCTTGATTTAAAAAAATATTATCGGAACAGACGATTCTTTGCTCAGAGAAAAACGGACTGACATTTCGAAGTTTCCAATTATATTTAAATGATACTTCTGACTAAAGGTAAATTTGCATAAATAATTGCAATGACTAGCTGTTGGAATTGCTTTTTAATTCGATCAGTCAAGAACAGCTTTTATGACAAGGAAAATTTTAGCCCATAAAAGCTAAATTAAAAAAATACAAAAAAAGAAAAATACTTATGTTTTAACATCTCTTCTCATCCAGAAAAATTATGTACTACAAGCGCCTGCCCCATACACAAACTAGAGGCTCCAAAGAGTCTCATAGATGGAACTTTGGATTGCAGCCTTTCAAAGATCGTCAGGCGAACGATCTTTGAAGGTGACCAATGTGCTTAAGACACATAATAGATCTGATATTGAGATTTTCAAGGAATTTTGTACAGGAATGGCTGAGATATTAAAAAAATAGTGCCAATTTGAGAGCCTGAGTTAGTGCGTGGGACAGACACTTCAAACTGTTCATGACAAGTCTAAGGGCAACGCTGAAAATTTGGACAAAAATTCTTCGTTCATTGACATGCGAGTTCTGAAGATACATGTGAGAGGAAAAATGATTGAAAAGATCGTCAAGTTGACAAGATTTCAAACATAAAACAAACACTTGATTCGGAAGAAATAAAAGCGTGGAAGACTAGAAAAAAACCTGTCATTCCTAATTAATTATTCAACCTAAATATCAATATTGAGGAGGGGATTTTGAGTTGAGTAAAAGCAGGAAAAAAGATAGAATTCAATTATTTCAGTATTTTGAGTGACCTCATCCTAATTTTAGAATCACCAGCTTTCATTTTACAAGATGCAGGATTTAAGAACTGTAGCCAGTCTGATTTTAAAAGCCTCTCATTGTATATTTTTATAGAGAAGAATATTGTCTTGAGGGCCTTAGATTCTGTGATAATTTTTCTCCAAGTTCATACTTTCTTTCTGCATGCAGGAATATATTTATTAGCAAAGAAAAGAAAAAGAAATACTCTGAGGGCACAGGTCAAGAGGTACACTTGAAATTTAACAAGAAAATTGGGATACAAATTACTAGGATGCCTTGATGTAAAAAAATTAAAATTAGTCTTTGAGCCCAGCAAAGGCTACTCCAGAAGTCCTTGATATTTTAGTGTTAACTAATATTCTCAGTCTTGCTTTTTGGAACAAATTACAAGCATACAGCATCCCTTCAAAACGTTTGATCCATGATTATTGAGGAAATCTAGCTGCATTACAGATTTTACTGACTTGAAGTTTAATTTCAGAGATTCTTAAGTCAATATTTGATAAATAGCACTTGGTGGCCTCCTTACTTCCATTGAAATTCGACATGGACTTGATTTAATCATACAGTGCTTAAAGAGTCTTGAGGCGTTCCTCGAAATGATTGCTTCTATGAGTGGTTACTATATGGTGGCTTTCTATGCAAGTGGTTACTTTCTCTCCTAGGAAAACATTTTACTTCTCTATGGATTTTTCCCTCCCCTCTTCCTCTTGGCATTTCTTGCACCTTCATTTTCAGGAAGCCTGAGTGTCCACAAATCCTTCTTCCTCCAAACGGCATAAAGTTTGTATAAAGGGGAATGAAATATCCTTTTAATGTCAAAACGTTACTTCGTTTTAATTTTCCTCAAATAAACGAAAAATAATTGATTGATTGATGTTGATATACCTTAAAATAAAGGGATTTTTAGGACTTCTACAGCTTTCCTGCAATTTTTCATCATATATTTAGTTATTTTATTTGCATGGGCTTTCTGATTTTCTTTTATGGAACCTTTGTGTATGTTAATGGATGTACTTTAGTTGTGAATCAATAGATGAATTTTGTCAGAGGAAAAAGAAAATTTAACAAACAAAAATAAAAGGGGCTGTCGGCACCAACAGCTTTTACGAATTCGTAAAATTTTACGCTCTAAATAAAGTAATGTTACACAGTAAAGACTGAATTTCAAAGAATTATCACTTTTTTTTCTTTTTAAAACTACCTTTGCAAAAAATTAAATAATAACATGAAAGAGAGAGAGAGGAAAAAAATATTGCTCATAAAAGTGAAGTACCTTGGATATTTTATCAAGGATATAAATGTTCATATAAAAACATTCAAGTTCAGTTACAATATAGAAATAAATACAATTATGTTCATCACTAGACCTTACTTTTTTACGTATTTACACAGTATAAAAATCTTTTTTTAGATATATTTACACTTAAAGAAGTAATTACAAGAATTAATTTTTACACTGCAGATCCTTTAAATGTTTGAACTTGATGTGTGTTGCAGACAGATGTAAGTCAAAATGGGCATTTCATTAAATGCTAAGGCAAATGATTGATGAGTTTAAAACAATCTGAGTCCCAATATTCTACTCCTCAAAAAACTTTAGATAATATTTCATTATTTTTAAAATAAAAAGGTTGAATCAGAGACTGAATGGTCAACGCCAAAAAAATGAGCGCAAGAGCTTTAGGAAATGAGGACGCATTATCCATTCCTCACCCTTAACAATTCGTTTTTTGAGTGCATTGGGCAAAGGAATTATTACTTCCAGCTCTGAGCCTCATGAGGAGATAACATTCTTACCAAAAACACGAATAGTTTTAAGGAAGAATTCTTTATTTTTTCTTGAAATTCGATAAAAATGAAATTGATAATTGGGAGAGCACTGGGGATATCTGTACGACTTTTTTGAGTGACATCTGTATGGACAGAGAAAATTGCAACTGGGCTATGTTAGGATGCTGAGAAAAATTTTGGTGATCAAAAATTTACGTCCATTTACAGGCAGGGAGGGAGTTTGAAAAAGAGCTAAAAATATAAAACTTTTAGGATTGCAGAGGAAATATTGTAAAATGCATCTCCTGAAAAGATTAGAATTTTACTGATCAAATTAAATTTTTATTAATTGAATTAAGTATCAATAAAAATTGCTTCACTGAGGAAGCTCGACTCCAATGTTGTTCCCGTTAGAAATGTTTCCTCTATTATGAGAACTATGAGTAGAGGTAAGTTCAAAATGCTTCCGTTAAAAAAAATTTAATAAATACAAGATTAAAAATAACATAGAAAAGAAAATTGAGTGAATTCCAAGTGAAATACCCACATTATTTACTTGTAAAATGGTGGCATACCAAGTATTGAAACTCGTGACTGAGTTAGGGAGAGATGGTGAATTCAAATATTTTCTGGTACTGTTTATATTTAGAAGGAGAGCATGAGGATTTGATTGCTTTTCACATAATACTGCAGTTCGTAAAGAAGACCTGACGATAGGAGCATGGCAGATGAGAATATTAATGGCTCAATCAAGATTAATTAATTGGAACAAATGCTGAAATGCCCTGTAAAAAAATAGCTAGCAAGCACTAAAGTGCAAAATAATAGTAATAAAAAAAACCCAGAGGGAATGAACAGCTTTCTTTTTACAGCATAATTTATAATTATTCGTTTCAGTTTAAGATACTTGATTGAATTGACGTGAAATAAAAAACTAAAAATGATAAACACGGCAAGTGAAAATATTTCTTTTCTCTTTTCAATTAAAAAAAAAATATCTGTTATGGAAATTTGGAATTCTGAGCCGAAGCAATGATTTAAAAGAATCTGAAATATGAATGTAAGGTGAAAAACGAGATTTTGTTGGACTGAGAAATATTGAATTCAGGAGGTAAAATCGAAAAAATCATAATACAGAGAAGATTCAGCTAATGATAATGATTCTACAGCTTTTTGGCAAAAACCGTGGAGTGCACATAGTCATAACAGAATTAAGAGCTACGATTGCTGCAAGAATCTTTGAGGCACCTTTGATACTCCTCTGAGGTATAATACATCTCAATTTTTTTTTAAATTTCAGCCACCAAAAATTATTTTATTGAAGAGTATATTGAAATCAATTTAAAGCCTGATTTGATTCAACTAGACAAGAGAACTGTTAGCTACTTGCGTGCACTGCCTCCGTCAGAGAGAGCAATAGTATTATTGTATACCAACAAATTTTAGGCCAAAGGAAAGATTAAAAATACTGAGGAATTCTAGAAGCTGAAGCCAGTGAGCTTTGAGTTATCAACGGAATATAATCAAAATTTCAAGTAAAATCTACCTCATTTCTCATTTGAATTCTTCAAGGTTAAACTTGTTTCAGAGAAATTTTAAAAGACTCGATTTTCTCGCGAATTGATAGGTTTTCGAAGCTAGAATAATGGTCCCATACATAAGTAAAAAAAGAGTTCTTGTGCAGTCGTAATTGCAATCGACTACAAGATTGTAGACACTGCTGGCAAAAAGGTTCATACTTCAGGTATAAAATTTTGCATTAACATCCCACTGCACTGGGTACTAAGGAACGGAAGGTAACATAGGGATGGTTACAGAACAATACTGTTTAACTGACAATTTTGGCGAAATTGAGAAAGGGACTTACAGTATGAAATACGCAAGCTGATGTTTTCAGTTTCTTCTTATTTGGCATGGGAGCGTTGTAATGATGTTGCAGTGTATAAAAAAAATTGCAACCTCACAAAAATGGCGAACTTGTCAGTAAACTAGTCAGTTTGTAAATGGGCAGTGCTGTTCCTCAGCCATCGATAGAAGAGAGAGCAGCCTTCAGTGTCATGGATTACTTCAATTTGTATTCCTTTGAAAATTGTATTTTTCTTTAAAAACAAAACCTTTTGTACCAACAGTGTTGTATTTAAAACACTATCAAGGATTGAAGAAGAGTATTTAAAAAAGAAAAGGAAAAAAAATTTAGCATCTTAGTTTTACATGTTATACTAAAAAGTATGCAAAAACCACTTTAAAAAGTAAGTTTATTTCCTGCTAGAAAAACTCTTTAGGTCTTCGAGAATAAGGCCTTGTGGTCGTTTCATCATCAACTCGCGCAGGGGTCGCAACCGAGGCAGAGGCAGAAACGGAATGAGGTATCGTCCGAGTGTCACCCTCTGGCTCTGGAATTGGAACCGATTTTGATTCACGCTCGAGCGAGGCAATTTTGGAAGTAGTTCGTTCGGGAGGAGGAGGTGGTATCGAAGGGGCAGCAGGTTTTGTCCTAGATTTACTGCGCCTTTTACGCAAAGCTATTTGGCCTCCGACGCCCGTACTTACAGTCACCTCTCCTGTGGCTGTGGCAGGCCTTTCTGGAGGAGCACCATGGGAGGAAATAGCTGTCCCCGCAGAAGCAGCCCGATGACCAACCCTTAACACTTTGCTTTCTTCCGAGCCAGGTTTCGTCGGTGTTTGGGCTGTGTCTGAACCAGAGCCGCTCAACCGATTCACCAGTTCACCCAGAAGCTCTTCCATTCTACCCATTTTTTGGTTCAGTCTTTGTACTTCTAATTTGACGTCGACTTTAAAGTCCATAATATTCGACATGATTTCTTTATAGTCTACGCTGGCAGGTTGTGGCTCATAGATCACTAAGTTTGAAGAGGAGGCTTCATTGAGTTTTTGATCGCTACTCCTAATGATTCCACTGTCGTATAATTCTACCTTAGCTAAATTTGTACCGCTTTGGCTTTGCTTTGCGCTATCTTCGAATTCAACTATTTCCTCCACTGTGCTCTGTCGCGTAATTGCAGGCGGAGGAATGAGGATTCCTCCAGACGACGCAGCAGTAACTTTCTGGAGTTTCGGGAAGACTTTGTTCCCACTCCCGTGACCGCTACTCCCATTGCCTCCACCAGATGACTTGGCTGGTGAATCCCGCACTGACAAAGTTCTCGAAACAGCACTAGTGCTCGCACTCGTCACCGTTTCACTTCCCGAATCAACACTACTCCCCAGAACGCGACCCCACTTTGAGCCGCGCACCGTTGTCGGCCTTGGAGGCCTAGTCACTGGAATTAAAGCACTTGAACTACTTACACTAATTTCTTCTTTTTCTACTACGTTAGTCGTTTTTGTTGAGCTTTTGCTATCTTCAATGGCAAGCACCTCATCTGCTTCAGGAGCACTTTCACCTTTCTCGATATCCCGAATCGGAGGTGACCCCTGACCTGGTTGAGATGGAGTTGCTTGAGGTGGTTGCTGTTGCTGAAGCGCAGCTCGATCACGACGAAATTTTGAAAATATTTTCCTAACTAAATGGTCTTGATTTTGATCTAGTTTTGGCTCGTTCTTCCGCCTCTCAGCTAGCTCCTTTTCTCGACGTACATCTGCTACTTTACGGAAGATTAACTGAAAAAAAGAGAAAAACCTTACAGAAGGTGGAAAACAATGTAATGGGTCACTAGGCAAGGTCACATGTTTTCTTTTCAAAATCTTATGCAAAGAACAATTCACAAAACAAGAACTTTGGAAATCAACCCTAAACTAGACATTAACAAGTATTTTAAACACAGATAAAATGGAACTTAGATTATGCTGCCAATGACATCATTTATATTATATTCTTGTCATTTAAATCATTGTTAATGGTAAACACTTATATCTTGTTTAGGAGTTGACCTCTAAACTTTCCGTTGTGTGATTCGTTTTCTTTATAAAATTTTTAGGATAGGACATGTTGCCTACTTCACAAATATAGATCGCTTACATTCAAAGGATTTTTTAAGGTTACAGGTTTAAATTAAATTGTAAACCATCCATTTTTCTATGCCAAGAATAAATAAAATTAGTAAATTTGTACAGGTCTTTCAAAGATGATGATATTGATTATTGAATATTGCCAGTAAAATTCTATTCACCCATGGTAATTTTGATAGGTATCATTTTTCCATCGAGGGCAAAATGTAACAGCAATGAATGATGAAAAAAAAGTTCCCAGTTTTTTAACTTGTAGCTATAAAACAGTAACAAGGGAAGGTGATGATGGATTTAACTCCCTTCAAAATCCACTAAAGACATAATATTTTTGAGATGTCCCATCAACTTTATAAACAATGAAATCTAAAGTCAGAAAGTAGGAAAAGTAGCCAATGTGCATTACAATTCAGAAAACTAAAAATCTCAATACAGAGAAAAAAAGACCAAATAGAAACGCTATTTGGTGCAACACTAGTTGCGAACATTCAGCGAAACTCTTGATACTAGCGCACCAAACAGGGTATCTCTTTGAAGAAAAATTGTGTTCGAATGAGCATCTTCTCTCTGGATTGAGATTCTTAGTTTTCTGAACTGTAACACTTGTTAGCTACATTTCCAATTTTCTGTCTATATTACTCGGGTGTCTACTGCAATAAGTTTGTAATGAAATCCAAGATCTTCTTACAGAGGAAGGAAATACATAATGACTCCATGTTTGATTGACTAAAATTTTTGGTTTCCGAAGTGTCACTAAGCACAGGTTTAGTGTCAGTTGACCTAGTGGTCAGTGCCAACAAGAAAATATAAATTTTACAGAGGGTATCATTGGATTTCTTTATAAGAAACTTGCCTAATTGAAGGGAAGAAATGAGTAATAAAATGACACACTTGAATACACATGTGTCACACAACAGTTGAAGCAAGAATCAAATCCATAAACTTTAAAACACTAGTGTTAAAGGTCACAATTCCACTGATTGGTTCTGTAGAAACAGTCAAATATCAAGACATTATAAGTACATGCTATGTCACACAGTAGTTTTTACCCCTTCCCAAGTAGCATTTTTCAACGGAAAAATCGCGATTTGTTGCAATTTTGTCGGCGATAAAATCGCTAAGATCATCAACATCTGAGCGATTATCCTCGATCTTGTTGCAATAAAATCGCGATTTCATCGCCCGACAATTTATCGCGATATTATCGCAACAAAAGTCGCAATATATGGCAATTTAGTCTCGATTTTATCAACGCAAATTGATCGCGATTTAATTGAACAAAAAATTGGGATGCATAGCGATTTAATCGCCATAAATCACAATTTTTCATTCGATAATATTGCGATGAATTGCCACCGATATAATCGCGATAATCAACCGATAAAATCGCTATTTATCGTGATCACTGCTACTTAGGTTACTAAGGGAATTCTGTGATGCTGTTAAGGGCTTCGCATGGGCTCACTAACCAAAACAAAAACACAAGAATTTTAGTCTTGAGAAGGCTTTCATTTAAGTCCAAAATCTTCAGAGACAAAGCCATCTGTACCTTCCCTTGTGAGATTGGAAATAAACAGGAAATACTTACTCGATGCCTTAAATTGTAGGTTAAAACGAGGTTTCTAGCAAAAGAATTAGCAAAAGCTTGGTAAAAATCCAAGACTTCTAGTAACTTATCACGCTTAATAGTATGAAGATCACAGTAGGTCAAAGCTCTGACATTTGCAGCAGACTGGCCAACAGCATTGTCTTTCCAAAATGAGTCGCCAAATACATCTCCCTTGCCTGAAAGAATGTAAAGCAAATATTAAAAACGCTAAAGAGAAAAGAACAACAGGTGATCGAAGTACTACATGTTTCAAGGTGACACATGACCCAACAATAATGTATCAAACTTGAAAATTGGCAAAATTTATTTGATTAAACATTCCAACTCCAAAAAATGTGCTGATTAGATGTTGAAACGAATAATTTTTGCCAAATTTCAAGTCTTGATTGACTATTTTAGGGTCATGCACCACCTCAAAGCACCCAGGAAAGGAAATCTTTGTGGAGGCATTTTTTTTTTTTCACAAGCTGACTGAAAAATTGACGTCATTTTGAGAATGTCTCAAGACATTTTTTCTAGAATCAGCTGCTTAAGGTGATTCGTCAAGCTCAAGTGACGTGGTCGAACTGGCATGCGATATATCGCACCTTTTAGGTAAAAAATCTCGGCAGATTTTGAATTTTCAGCAAAAAAAAGGACGATAGCCCCTGCGCATGAGCCTGAAGAATCATTCTAAACCCAAAAATCGGCAAAATTCAGAGAAATGAAAACAGGATAGTGTTTGGAAAAAAACCTCGCATTCGATACCGAAATCGATAGCTGAATCGAATGCGAGGTTTTTTTCCAAACACTATCCTGTTTTCATTTCTCTGAATTTTGCCGATTTTTGGGTTTAGAATGATTCTTCAGGCTCATGCGCAGGGGCTATCGTCCTTTTTTTTGCTGAAAATTCAAAATCTGCCTAGATTTTTTACCTAAAAGATGCGATATATCGCATGCCAGTTCGACCACGTCACTTGAGCTTGACGAATCACCTTAAAGGAAAAAATTAAGAAAAGTGTAGCTGATTCTGAGAATTGTTTGCAAATTATTTCAAGCTTGTTCCTTTGATAACAGAAAACTTTTTTAGGTAGATTTTTTAGTAACGACCTGATAAAGAATTTCACGGTTTTAAAAATAGAGAGGAAGACTTTCCAAGTTGATATTTTGAACTCATGTGAAGTGCTGTTAAAGTTCTGGGTGTGCTTATTTGATGAGAAAATAAAAAAATTCTAATTATCCTTTACATCGACAAAGCGGTTTAATACTGGAATAAAATCTCACCTAGAATGGCTACAACTTCATCATCTTGAATTACTTCTAACGATCCGGTGACAATAAAGCAAAGTGAGTCTATCGATTCACCAGTGTGATAAAGTAAATCTCCAGGCGCTGAGTGACTCATGGTGAAATGCATAGCAAGAGCTCGTAAACATCCATCGCTGGCAAGTCGAAATGCTGGATGCTCGTTGAAAACTTTCCTATTTAGATGAACACATATGTCGGCCTTCATATCCTTGGGGCAATAGTTCAAGACCTGATAAAAAAATGGAGACTGCTAGAGAAAAATCATTGGGAAGCTCCACAGAAAATGACTCAAAGTGAACTAAAAGGTATAAAACAGTAATAAGTGAGAGTTGGGTATGAAACATACCTTCAAGACTAGAGACACAGATTTTCACATGACATCATAGACATGGTGCTTGGTTCTATGAAAATAGAAATACTCATTATGAAGGGGAAAACTTATTTCCAATTTTCTCTTTCTTAGTTAGGCTGTTTGGAGTAACATTTGTCACCGTCAAATAAAACTCCTCCTGATTGGTTGTTAATATGTTCCTCCAAACAATGTAGCTCAAAGGGGGAAAATTAATTCAAAATTAGTTTTTTTCTAGAGAATGAATATTTTTTTCCCCAGAACTAAGCTCCATGGCTATGACATCACGTCAAAATCTATGTCTCTCTCAAATAATAGTTGAAAATTGAGTCACATCCTGCAGAAATACCACAAAGTCGCCATTACTGCCTTGAAGCAAGACACAGTGATATACTTTTATTTAAATTTCAATCCTTTCTGTCTTGCTCTTTTGTTTTTTTACTTTCTTATGAGGATATCTTTGATGAAAAATTTGGTCCATTCTAACTCTTTTTCTCATTCGTAGGAAATGTTCAATTCTTGGCAAAATTAACCAAGGAATTGGAATTGAACATTTATGTAATTGCATCAAAGACATACAGGATACTCAGCTTAAAATACAATTTAACTTCTTGATGAGCAGATACCAATAATGCACAAATTACATGGTCCGAGAATATAAACACAAAAAAATACAAATGAAAAAATGGGTGAAACAAGGCTAATTGTAAGATATAAGAAAACTACAAAGCTATGACGTTTCGAGCCGAAAATGAGCTTGCGACAGTTGAAAAAAATATTCTAGACTTGCTTTACCCATTTTTCCGTTTGTATCCTCTTGTCCCATGATACCTCCGGAATCTTTCAACATTTACTTCTTAACAGCTAATATTTTTCTTCCTTTGACTGATTAAAATCTGGCAAAATTACGGGAAATTATATTTACATTATTAGTAAAAGCAATTGAGAACCTAATTAGAAGCACCTAATTTTGAAGGATTTCAACATCACTAGGAAAAAAGTAAGCAGAAAAAAGTATGTGGTTGTAGACTTTCAAAAACTGATCAAGGAACAATATATTCTGAAGCAAAAAATATGCATCATCCAAAGAAATTTCACATTCACAGGGAAATAGTTTCTTGGATAAAAATTTTCAGTAATGTTAAAAATACAGTAAACCTTGGCAATCTGGACAGTGTCTATCATTGTGATCAGCTGAAAGTATTTTTACCAATTGTAAGTATGTGGTAACTGAAAAAAATCATTTTGCTGTTTGTTTTGATTGCTGGTCTAACTTCATCGGGTACAAAACCAAGAATAATGGGCTACTAAACACGGTTTAAATTGGCAGGAAACGGTGCATGTTTTCTATTCAAAATCTTACATGGATAACAATTTACACAACGCAAAGCTCAAAGATAAAATCCTGAATGAGGTATTGACAAATATTTTTAACACAGATCGGAAGGTTAGAAAGTTAGATTATACGAATGACGTCATTTGTATTTTTGCCATTCAACCAACGTTGATTGAGAATACTTTTATTTTGTTCTGGAGTTGATTTCCAGACTTCGCGTTATGTGAACGGTCTTCCACATAAGATTTTTTTGAGAAAAAATGTTGCATCGTCCTTTGGTCCAACCCTTGTCTGAGGCTCATTTATTCCCCTTATCTGACAATAATAGGCAACAATTAATGTTTTGGATGATCAGCAAAAAGGACAAAATTGCATAAAAAACAAATAGTACTGCTCAAAAATCACATAGATTTGAAAAATTTCAAGACTAGATTGCGAAGGTTCTACTGCATTTAACATTGAAAAACTACTGCGGAGCAGGTAAGAAAAAATTCTGCACAATTTCAAAGTAAGTATTCATTTACGTTCTGTGGTACGTTGAATACGTGCAATAAGAAACTCATCAGGACTACAAAAAAGAAGCGTTCAAGATAAGAGGAGATTTTTTCACTTTTTAGAGATAGTTTTAAAAAAAAGTTTGCACCGAAGGAGTAGGATCTAACTTTTCAAATTAAAATAGTCGTAATGAAAATAATTAACGAGTCTTGCTTGACAGGGCTCCACTGATTGAATTATCGATATTGTAAAAGCATATGTATTCCAACGTTTAAAAACATATTACCATGCTGTTTTAGTAAGGAAAAATGCCATAGGAATGTTCGATAATTGCCAAATTCCCTCCAGTAAATTGTTTATTTTCTAGAGGAGTTATGAATATTTTCACTTGAAATTTTCAGATAATTCAGATCTGATTGCAGATAAAATTCTCAAAAAAAGGGAAGGAAAAATACTCACAGATTTCCCGAAAAATTCATAATTTATCGAAGGAAATTTGGCAACATTTGAAGGCTCATACAGCTTTCTGTCTTAGTCCAGCGTATGGTATGTAATAAAGAGATACACTTCACTAAAGAGTCCACGCCAAATAATTTTACGCACTTTTAGACTGCGACAGAAGATCGTCTGACATCATTTTAGCATGGAAATTGGAAAGTGAATGCAAGAATCAAGATGGCGGATCTTCTGGTGTGTAAACTTATTTGGCGTGGACTCTAGCAGTGAATTAACACCTAAAGTTTTCATTGGTTCGACTCAAGATTGTTAATCTTGATGATTTTAAGAGTTAAAATGATAAAACAAATATTTCCAAGACCCTTACATATCAAACAAAGAAAAAAAGGGGAGAAAATACGTAGGTCCATTAAGCATTTCAGTCATCTCAGTGCTAAAAGTATAACTGGACTGGATGGTCACAACTTTGTATCATAGGAAACATGGAGAAAACAAGGTTTTTTAATATACAAGGAAGCACAAGTCTTAGATTTTTCATTATTTTTTATAAAAATGGAGAAAAAAAAATAAATCAGATCAAACGAGGAGAAGAAAATTGAGAGAGATTCTCCTCAAATTAAATAACAGTAGATGAGCAAGGGAGTAAATGCATTTAAAGCGGAGATGCATATATATATTGTTTCTTGATAGTTTGCCTGACCTGATTTACCTTGTCCGTGTCTAAACCTTTCGTCATGGCCCACGTAGAGACAACGTAGTCCATGACACGTTCAGACAAGGCTTTGGGAACTTCATGCAGTTTCATGAATTCCCGAACGTTATTCAGCATATCATGGTACTTGGCCGTTGCGGATGTCATTTGCTGGATGATAGTTGTCACATGACCGAAAATAGTGGCATAAAGTAAGGCTGAAATAAAAATTGAAAAGAATTAATGAAAAACGCAATAATTACATCTCAGTGGTAGGTTATCGATTTGAGCTGAACAGGCTCACCATTTTCACAACTGCATGAAAAGCTCTCACAATTAAGTTTCAGGCCGGAGAGAACTTTGCTTCAGTTGCTCTTTTACTTATGCAATTGACTTTGTATGAATTTTTTGCATTAGTTACATTTTTAACATGGATTTAAATGGTAAATGCCACCACAACTTTGATTAACTTCGCCCAAGAGTCTATAAAGGTCATAAATTGGGTACTTTTGTTACACTTACCATACTTTTATAATCTGTTTAGACAATAAAATTAGACAATAAAAAATGAGATTCCATTCTGCAGATTTTTTATACAAAAAATTGAAAACTCAAGTTTGAGTTGAAGAGAAATGTAGGAGCACAAAGGACACTCACCAGCGATAATCATCATACAAATGGTAAAAATTTTTTCATTGTCAGTCTCAGCAGCAACATTTCCAAATCCCACACTCGTCATGCAAGTCATCGTGAAATACAGAGCAGTCACATACATCGTTTTCCGTGAAGGACCATTGATGAGCTCTGGAGCATTGGTGTCATTTGACCAAATATAAGAGTAAGGCGATTGGGTAACATTTGCTAATTTCCACAGCCAAGAGTACTGAATTCCATTGTCTGCATCAGACCTTCCTATGTAGGGAAGGGAAAAGCAAATTTGACTGATTAGAGGAATTATTAGAAGAACATTCCTCTCCTGAAGATAACTTAATATTTTTATTTCTGTTCGTGTTTTTATTACCTATTCTGACAAATCTTTTGTATTTATTTTATGTATTTTATATATTTTATATATATTTTATTTATAATTTATATGTGCTTTGTACTTCAAAGCTTGACAGACAGGGCTGTTCTCTAGTCATCAACAGCAGCAGAGGAAAAAGAAGCAGAAGACAAAAAAGAAAAAATTTGCTCTAAGATTTTCTATCTCAAATAGTTATGAAGACCTTCGGAAGAGAAATTTCTATTGGTGTTTCACTGTATCACTGTATCACTTCTCCAGGAAAAAGTATTATCTCTGCAACATTAACAAAAAAATTATCAACAGGCATGTTGATTTGATTACTTTTTCCATTGATGTTTTAGTATTAACATGGACTTGGATGAAAAACAGGGTTAGTACATATAGCAGATAGGCATTATAAGAAAATTACTTTTGTAAACTGAAATCGTTATTGCGGCAGGGCCACCTTCTTCCTGAAAAAAAAAAACCCTTCAAATCTCTCTTAGAAATTAACATACCGTCTAGGAACTCCATTGACAAGACTTATGGATGAGTTGAGTGACAAAAGCCAATACTCCCTCGTAAAATGATGCTAGCTTGCTCGCACTATTTTACTCACACAGAACACATCCACACATTTATCGACAGTGAAACTGCAGAAATGTGTACCTCAGTTTGCGGCGTTGTAGACTTGCTGTCATGCTTCGTTTTCTACATGGAAAACTACGGAACATCATTTCTTAAAGCCCCAGTGATTTTTTTTCTACGTGTAAAAAATATTCTGCGGAAATTTCAAACCATGATGTTGGTTTGGTCTGTTACTAAAAAATAAAATAGGAATAGAGATTTCGAAACACCACAACTGAGATACGCATTTTTGCAGTTTCACTACCAATAAGTCCTCATAACGGCTGTGTATCACTTAAAAGAGTGGGGAGAAAGAATAACAAAGAGGGCATTTAACTCCTTACCTATTGAATACCATATGCAGGCTAACCAGTGAGCAACCAGCATATAGAAACACAGCAGTAAAATCAACATTGCAGCTCCATATTCTAGATACCTATCCAACTTCCGCACTACTCGTCCAAGCCTCAGCAGTCTCACAACCTTCAAGGCGCTGAATAAACTCCCAATGCCCTGGAAAATACAATAATTGGTAAATGAAAAATGGAGAAAGGATAAAAATAGTACAGCCAAAAAGGTTGAAGGCAAATCAGCGGGGATCTGCCATCTTTAAAAATTTGCTTCCATTGTGATTTCAACAAAATTATATTTATTGATTTGTTTTCATTGATGAGTAACAGTGTAAGAGATAAAGTTATTGTAATTATTTAGACCCAATTAAAAATAACCGAGGATCTGCTTAGTCACAGGTTGACAAAAACATGTCTCTTTTGCACAAAATGAAGAGTTTGGTGATATATTTACCGATTACATAGATAGAAAAAAACAAGAAACCAGGACTATGATGATGCGTGTGGATATAGTACGATTTTTTCAGCTATCTTTTCCTGTTTCTCAGTGCTTTTCTTCCCTCGTCAAATTTTGGGCTTATGTTTTGACTGTGCCTTTTTTATTTTATTTTTTGCCTTGAAAACTACCCAGAAAAAAAGAGGAAATGGAATCATGCATGTGGAAATGGGGCAGTCCATGTTCATGGTTCCTTCGGTGGGGGTCATGAGGGCTCAAACCAACAGCTCACTGGACGCTCCACGTCCAGGTTGTTTGAATGAGGGAATAAATCTGAACTTTAGCCCTCTTACAATAAACTGAGCCAATTATCTAACTTGCCTTCTTAGCCACCACTATTCATCATGTCTATGATGGGTTTAATTTTGAAGAAAATATATTTCACTCCCTCCTTGTGAGACTTATCCAGTGCTATAGATTTGAACATTTGATCTTATTCACTAAAAATGTTTAGCTTCTGTATCGGGTTGAAGGCATAGCCTGGAGCCTGGAGTAATGATCGATCATGCAACTAATGTATAGAGGGCAAGAGTAGCCTGGTCAATGCAATCTACTTCAGTTTGCTAAAAGGCAGCTACGAGACAGAGATCAAAACGACTAAGTATAATAGGTGTTGGGTACAGAAAGGGAATTTCTTGGTTGCAGCATTTCAGACAATCCACTGCTAATTTACGTTCCACAGAGGAAACTATCGGGTGGATTTCTTGAAGTTTGTAGTTTCCAGCTTTGTAAAAGCAGCAAGAAAATTCAGTAAAAGTTTAAACAAAATCTGTGCATTTGCTTTAATTGCATTGGATGAAACGTTGACAGAGATCCTGAGACACGGCAACCAAGAAAAGCTCCTCCTGTACCCAGTGCTTCCTATCAACAGCCTAAATCCGCAATTACATACTTCATTAGTGGGGTCTGAAAATCTCCGCCTCTGTTATCTTTTTAAAGGAGAACAATTCGACACCATTCCTTAAAGTTTATGCAGTGCACAGAGAAGAGAAATCACGGCAGTTTTAAAAAATTGCCGTTGCGTAGTTTTTTGTTTAAGAAATAAAGTATGATAGGTTGCTGCGACGTTGCTAACCAAATTATGTAACTGCCGACTTACACCATCAATATGTGTAGTACAACACTCAAGATTGCAGGAACAAGTAGAACTTTTGGGTTGACATAATTTGTTGATGCTGCTTCAGTTAAAGATAGGAGTTTAAGAAAGAGGAGCCACGTCACATCAAGATCAAACAGAAGAAAATAGATTTAAAGTTAGACCTCTTCGAACAACACAGCATGAGAGGCGAAGTTCAAAGCCTTTATTTTCGTCCAAAATACTTATCTGGACTGTGAAGTTACGACAGGTACATACGTGCACATACATAAGCTCAAAAATGCTCCTAACTTAATTCCTTCCCGCAACGTGACTTGGCTACTTCCTGCTTAGTCCAGTCCAAATCGAATGAAAGTGATAAATCTTAGAAGGAAACAGTTATGACTTACAAGAACATTTGGAAAGAGCATTTGTGTCAATTGTATAAATTGTCCGGGCCATTTTAATGGAGTGGGTTTACTGAACTAGGTTCGATTGATACGTTGGGAAAATTATTTTCCAAGAAGAATTCCAGAAGAAACTAAAAACTCTAGCGATTGTTTACGTACGTAGTTTCTGAAATTTAGAGGTTAGTAAATTGTTTTTGTTTACAAAACGAGACAGCTACGCTGCGCCCCTGGCCATGGACCAAGAGAATAAATAAGGACCCCCAACTCCGGTTAGCGCTGACATCAGCGCTCCCTGGCAGAGGGTGTAGTGAACTAAACCGATGATTGGGTCTTCCTGTTTATATTTCCATGCACCACCTATTTAGGCTTATCACTCAGTAGTGCTCATAGAAGTTTCTAGATCCTCGTATCCTCGTGGTCGCCCTGCAGTTTTGAAGAGTTTAGTGTGAAAAGTTTCCCATTTTCATTTCAATCTTCGTCAGTCTTCGTGTACATAAACTGGTATTAATGTGAAGTGTTATTTCTAACCGTTTTACTCAGCAGCAACTGCTGTTGAGAAAGCCAAAGGAAGTGTGTATGTAGTGTGCAGCAGGAATCAGGATTGTACTTTTAGCCGAAGGCGCCGCTCTGTTAAGTGAAATCTTTTTAGTGAGAAATAGTGTTGTACTGATAAAAATCAACTGAGTGTCACAAAATCAAAGATACTTGACTTCAAGCATTACCTTTAATTTGATTATTAGCAAGTCTCTTTGATTCTGCGTCAGAAGTTGACTGAATCATCTTTGCTCGTGTTCTGATAAGATACTTCACATCAAAGTCTTTCGCATTGACCTCTGCCGAAGGTATGTATCTATACAATTTCATTAGTTTGCGAAAGTAAAATGTATTAAAGTATCTACACAAATAAATAAATCATAGATAAACAAAGAACATTGCATGGAATAACATACTATAGAGGTACGATCGTGGACCGCTGTGGCGTTAGTTCGCCGCACCCTCTGCCAGGTTCGCTGCGAGCGCGCGTTAACGGTTTTTAACACAGGGTAGCATAGGGAGTTGGGAGTCCTTATTTATTCTATTGGTCCATGCCCTGGCTGCGCAAGCGCAAAACTCGACCCTGGCGCGAATATTTGAAATTCACGCGGCTATTTCAAATTCACGCTTCATGTTACCATAAGTATCTGCGTCTCACTATTCGGCTAAATACCAATGAGTGGGTGGATTATGCTCACTAATTGTGCAAACATCAACATAAAGTTGAAAAGATTTTAGAGAATTGATGAATTTTTTGAGAAAACTTTTCAAAATAACTACTTTTGACACATGCGTAGAGAAAATGTTTGACTCTTTGACACATAGGTAACCTCAGTCAGATTTTAATTTGCAACTAATAAATTACAGAAGTGTATATATAGTCTGAGACATGAATAAGTATGAAAACAATCAATATGAACATTTTTATAAAAAAAAAAAAATCGTAGCCTCTTCGTTAAATGAAGAAGTCATTCAAATACAATGGCGTTCAGTATAGGTAATAATAAATTGGAAAATTGGGCAAAAAAAATAGTTTAAAAAAACTGTATATATCGACGATGAAAGTGTACAACCACGTGTCTTGGTTTGCGACGTTGCAAACTTCCTATCGTATACTTTATTTTTAAATGGAAAATCAATCAACGGACGTTTTTAAAAATTGACATAATTTTTCTTCTCTATGAGAAAATACTCTGTGAAGATGTCAAGGAAAGATGTCGATTTGTTCTCCTTGAAAATAATAAAACAGGAGCGCAGATTTTGAAACACCACAATCCGCAAACGAAATACGAGGTTGTGGACTTGCACCGAAGATATTCTTAAATTTTAATCTTCTCAAAGAAAAGGAGGAAATCGATACATAAAATGCTCAATGTATCATACTGTTGTGGAATTTCGATCATCATAGCCATAATAATTATTACTTCAAGAAGAACTGAAGAAACAAGCGGACACGGATGTTGATGTCAAAAAAAGTGACACTGTCTTCCATATTCAATTAGTTTTAAAAAAATACAGAGGGATTTTTTTTTAATAGAATCAAATCCAAGTTCCTACGTCTACGATCATAGCTCGTTGGTCCTGTATGTGAACGGGGAAATGAGTAAACAGACAGAGCACAAGCATTTTTGCAACCTGGTAGGGAGGCATAGAGGATCTGTACATTTCAGCGACGAGTTTAATAATTATTCTAACCAGAGACGCAGCCAGAAATTACTCATGAGAGATGGAGAGGGAAAAATTCAAGAAAATCCCCCGAAATTATGTATTTCTGGAAAATTGTCTCGTCNGGGGGGGGGGGGGGGGAGACCCTCTGGACTACCTCCTTTTTGGGCTACGTCACACAGTGGCGTGGCGTATTTTGCGATGAATAGATTGATCTGCCATTTAAACGCATGGAAAAGGATCGATTAACAGGGTGTTCGGAACGAACACCGTAATAATCGATTCTTTACCATAGCTTTGAATGAGTAAATATCGATAATCGATCATTCACGACTCGCCGCTGGCGTCACTGTCTTAAATGAGGAGGAACTTGCATTTGACTTAATTTCATTACGCTTATTTTAATACATGCAACAGGACATTACAGATGCAGTGGTGTGGCGTGCTTTGCGATGTATCGATTGATCTACCACTTAAACCCATGGAAAAGGATCGCTAGACAGGGCATTCGCAACGAACACCTTAATAATCGATTCTTTGCCATAGCTTCAAATGGGAAAATATCAATAACCGATGTCTCACACCTCTCCACTGTTCAGATGATATAGTGCGAGGTCGTAAATCGCAGCGCTCAGACTGAATATTACTTGCACAAACAAACGAAAAATCGTCAGAGTTAGGATTAGACAGTTGTCTTGATCTAATGATATAATTATAGGAGGAGATGAAGAAAAAGAACTTCAATCCTCTTTTAAAAAACCGACGTAGTGGCCACGGCCGGTCCCGGTTCCGTAGAGAATAACTAGGTTAAGAATACAATTAATAACTAACCAAACTAAAAGATCTGAAAACTCATGTATTGAAATATTCTATGATATTAACTTATTTTAACTTTTATAAGATACGATTTATCCATAACTTCCAACAACTCACATATTTGAGTTTTCAAGAACAGCTTGATTATTTGTATACTAATTGTTATA